CAAAGGAACGGGCTGGTGTTCATCTACGACATGGCAGGGTCACAGTACACCAACTTCGAGCTGGACCTCAGCAAGAAGATCCTCAACCTGCTCAAGGTGGTGCCTGGGGGTTAACTGATGTCTGTGTGGGCCACTCGCTCACCAAGAACCTAAAGTCCTGTGGTTTTGGCATCAATTTGCACCCCAGACCACACTGACCACATCTCGGCCGAGGAGCACCAGCTGCAGCCCCGCAGGACCTGGGGAAGGCACTGGGAGCTTGCCAGGCTGGACCCGGCGGTGGCTGCGGTGTGGCGCGGGCGGGAGGGATCAGCTGTCCCCGGGCTGGATTCCTCTCACAGCTGCTGGCAGCACTTTTGGGAAAACAGATGCAAATTATTTTTTAATCGTGCTGGCATTTGGTGCCTCCTCCCTTCTCCGGAAAAAAAAAGCAATAAGAGTAAATACTGGCTGGGGTGTGTTCTTTGCATAATCCCAGTTCCCAGTTTTCACCTCTCCCCATGGAGCCAAACCCTCTGCTTACCTAATTCCAAGGAAGCAATTTGGTTCCTTATCAACATGGATAAGAGTTGATAAGGAACCAAAGAACAAGCAAGGCTGTGAGTGTGCGAGGCACACTTCAGATGTGGCATTGCCATCGTGGGGTCCCTTTGCTGGTTGTCACCTCTGCTGGGATATGTCCCCTGCCACAGCAGACTGCATCTGACCCCCTCCTCATGCCCACAGGGTGCCTTCCCAGCTCGGCTCAAGAAGGTTTTCATCGTGGGAGCACCCATGTGGTTCCGCGTGCCCTACTCCATCATCAGCCTGCTGCTGAAGGAGAAGCTGCGGGAGCGGGTGAGTGGGGACCCTCCTGGCACAGGACCCTCAGTGGGCAGGGCTGAGGTTGCTTTACCTTCATGCCAGGGTGGTGGAAGCAGCCATTCAGCTGCTTGTGCCGTTCAGCCCCCTCTGCTGGAAGCTGCCGAGCACCAGACCTTTGGCATCCCTGTTGCCATCCCCAGGGAATCCTCTCCAACCTTCTTGGAGTCACCCCTGCCTTTCCCCTTCCTCTCACAGGTGCAGATGGTGAAGATGTCGGAGCTGAAGGATCACCTGCCCCGGGAGTGCCTCCCTGAGTACCTCGGAGGGTCCCTCAAACTGGACCCTCTGAGCTGGAATTGCCGGTTCCTGCCCCAGCAGAACGGGCACCCTGACCCCCTGGACGAGCTCATCCTGGTGCCGCTGGCGGCCCCCAAAGATAACGGCTCCGTCCACGTCCCCGGGCCCAAGTCTGTCACCCTCCAGGAGCTGCTGGATCATGTCAGCCACAAGCAGAAACGTGGCATCTATGAGGAGTACGAAGACATTCGGCGCAGGAGCCCGGCCGGCACTTTCGTCTGCTCTTTGTGAGTTGTTGGTAGGGAGCCAGGTGCCCCTCTCACCCCAAAAAGCTCTGTGCCCACTCACCCCACGCTTCTGCTGCTGGATGGGGGTCCATTGGTCTCTTCATGGTGTGGTGCTTTGGGTTAGCAACTCAGAACCGTGGCCTAGGGATGGTGTGAGCCCCCTTTGTGAGTCCTGCAGCCTCTGGGATAGGGGGGAGCTGCAGAGGACAGCAGGGACCAGGACCTGGCCGGGACTCTGCTTCCCGAGGCTTTGGCCAGGTGATGGCAGCAGAGCCCAGGCTACGGGCCCCAGAGGCTTGCACAGGGGGAGGGATGCTGCCTTTGCCTTGCCTGGAATACATTCCCTGGAATACACGAGGAATACATCCCTGCCTCCCTCTCCCCCGCCTCCCAGGGCACCCTACAACCAGGACAAGAACCGGTACGGGGACGTGCCCTGCCTGGACCAAACCCGTGTCAAGCTGGCGAAGCCGTACAGCCGCCCAGAGGTGAGCCAGCCCAGGAGGGAAGCCCACAGTCCTGTGGGAAGCTGGCACAGCTGTCCCACGGTTCTGGAGGCCTTATCTCACCCATGCTTTTCTCCCTGCAGCTGACTGACTACATCAACGCGAGCTTCATGGATGGCTACAAGCAGAGGAATGCGTACATTGGCACTCAGGGTATGGCTGAGCCAACAAGGGGTTGTTCTGCTCCTGATGCACCCATGGGTTTCACCTCTGCCCAGTGTCAGCCCCTGGCCATGGGAAACATCCCAGGAGCTGGGCGCTGCCCAGCAGGTCCCCCTTCTCCCGGGGTGTATTTACTCCTCCCTGTGTGTATTTATTCCCCTCTCAGTTTCCAGTTAGTGGACTGAAGTTTTTCCTGGAAGAAAGCAAGGGGATCCATCTTCATCCATGATAGCAGCCCTCTCCCTCTCCCTGCCCCTATCCCAGCTCTGGATTTGCCTCATCTGCCCAAGGCTGAGCAGAGAGGTGGGATCAGCGCTGAGCCACAGGGACATGGTGCTGAGGGTGGCATCAGTGACAGCTCCAGGCTGTGTTCGTGGATCCACACCTGGGTCAGCCCCTACAGGAAGGGGCTGTGGTTCCCTGTGGGGGTCAGGGGGGGCTGCTGGATGCAGCTGGGCAAGGAGTTGCCCAGATCCATGAGATTTTGGGCTGATGTGTGGGTGTCCCTGCAGGGCCTCTGGAAAACACCTACGGTGACTTCTGGCGCATGGTGTGGGAGCAGAACGTCCTGGTGATCGTGATGACAACCCGGTGAGTGCTCGTGGAGGGACACAGCCCTCTTTTTCTGTGCCAAATGGGCAGTTTTGGTGTGGGATAAGCAGCACTGGGCTCGGTGCAGTGATCCTGCAGCAGTGGTGCCAGCCAGAGCCCCACAGGGGTGGGACACTGGGTCAAGGACAGACTGGTCCCTGCAGGATCCCCAAAGAACCAAGGCTGGGTGGCATGGGAGATGTCTCAGGCAGGGCAAGGAGGACATTACCAGCTTGTCATTGTCATGCTCCCAGGCTGGAGGAAGGAGGCAGGAGGAAGTGCGGCCAGTACTGGCCCCTGGAAAAGGACTTCCAGGTGTGCTTTGGGGCCCTGACCATCACCAACCTGGGCGTAGAGAACCTCAACCATTACAAGAAAACCATCCTGGAGATCCACAGCTCAGAGGTGCGTGGGCACAGCTGCCTGTTGGGGGAGTGGCATGGGGGCACCAGGGGTCAGAGGAGCAAAGAGGGTCTAAACCCACTGCTTTCCCCAGACCAGGGAGCGGCGGCTGGTGTCCCACTTCCAGTACCTGAGCTGGCCAGATTATGGCGTCCCCTCTTCTGCTGCCACTCTCATTGACTTTTTGGGGGCCGTGAAGCAGCAGCAGAGAGTGGCTGTCAGCTCCCTGGGACCTCGCTTCAAGGGTCACCCCGGGGGACCCCCAGTCGTGGTGCACTGCAGCGCTGGCATTGGCAGGACAGGTAATGGCTGTGGGGGAGGTTTGGAGATGGTGGGGTGACAAGTCCAGCTTCCCTGGGGCATTTCCATCCTGGAGACCCACAGAGTGTTTGCAAGCTGGTTGACCTGAGACACATGTCCTCAGGACTTCCCACAACCATCAGACCTGGGAGAAGTCCCCAGATGCCCTTAGGAGATCAGTGGGGGGCTGAGCACCAGCACTCCGGTTCTCACAAGGGCAGTGATGGTGCCATTTGATGTCTGATGCCATGCCCATCGCCGTCCCTAGGTACCTTCTGCGCGCTGGACATCTGCCTGTCACAGCTGCAGGACGTGGGCACGCTCAACATCTACCAGACGGTGCTGCGCATGCGGACCCAGCGCGCCTTCAGCATCCAGACCCCCGAGCAGTATTACTTCTGCTACACCGCCATCCTCGAGCACGCCCAGCGCGAGGGCCTGCTGCTCACCAACCACAGCCGGGCCGCCCAGGACAAGAGCTCGCCGGGGCACTGAGACCCTGCGCCTCCCACCGATGCCGCTGCCCGTCCTCGGGGGCTGCCCGCGCTGCCTCGGGGCACGCCGGGACTCGGCAGAGCCGTGGGGGCGGCGGTGCTGGAGCACCTCGGCTCTCAGCACTGCTATGGAACTGTGCCTTATTCAACCCAAACGGTGGCTGCCACTTTGCCGGCACGGGAAGGGGCTCTCGCTCCTGCCCGTCGTGTTTCGGTTGGGTTTGGATGGTTGGGGAGGTGGTTTGTCTTCTCTTTGAGTTGTTGGGTTTTTTAATTTTCGGGTTTTTTTTGTTGTTGTTGGGACCACCTAAGATGTACCTAGAGAGGGGCTTTGCAAAGTCCTAGGAAATGTATTCCCAGTCCTGGGGCTGAGGAAGAGGCACGTGCTTCGGTCTCGCCCGACGCTCCATCTGTGTGTGTATGTATGTGTGTATATAATATACCCCCGCTGTGACCCCCGGCTATTATATAGATACATATATACAACCGCCCCTTTAGCAGCTCCCAGGGGTCCCCGCTGTCCTGCCACCTCACTGCTGTGATCTCTGGAGCGGTGAGTTCGGTCCTGGCTCTGTCTTGTCTTCCCCCTTCCCCTTACTTCCCCTCACGGGCAGCGTTGGGACGCAGTACCCACTCCTGTGCCCATCCCACTGGAGGCACAGGATACTTGATGGTGTCCCCCCTGTTTCTTTGTCTCATCCTCCCCGGGGAGAGAGGTAGCAGCTGTGCTCCTGGGAGGATCTGGAGGACTGGGTTGTCCAGGGGTGCTGAGCTCGCCGGCATCGCGTGCCCTTGGGTGCCGCTGAGGGAGTCACTAGGTACGAGGTGACGGGGCCGTGGGGACCGACCGGCTCTCCAGGTTGCCCGGCTTTTCCAAGCTGCCGCTGGGAACCCGCAGGCCCAGCCCTGCCTTGAGTCATGGGCTGGGAAAGCGCTGAGCAAGAGGAAACCCCAAACCTGGAGAGGCAACGAGCCTCTGCCCCGGCCCCCGCCACTGCCTGGGCCTCCCCAACTTTATACTGTAATAAGCTCTTTGAATGTGTATATTCTTATTTTTTTATAATCTTGGGGGAGGGGGGCACAGGGTTTAGGAGGTTTTCTTTTGGGGTTTTTTTTGTGTTTGGGTTTTGGTTTGTGTTTTTTTTTGTTTTTTTGGGTTTTTTTTGTATTTAACATTAACTTGATCCAAGCCAGAGCCAGAAGTATTTGTAAATGTTCCTATTTTGCTCTCAGAGAAACCTTTTTGTTGTTACTTTTTTGGGAGTTGTTTTGTTTTTATTTGTATTGATATATAAATATACCACCAGTGACCAGTCCTCTTTGCTGTCGTGGGGGCATTGGGCAGGACAGGAGGGAATTCAGGGCTTTGCACGGGCTGTGACCTCGAAAAACCAGCTGGCCCCATTGAGGAGCACAGGGCTGTGTTTAAAACCAGCTGGCCCCATCCCTGGCTGCACGTGGACTTTGAGGAGCACAGGGCTGTGTTTAGGGCTTCTTCTGGCCTGGGTGAGGCTGAGACAGAGATAACCAGGCTGCAGGAAGCTTTCCTGGGCAGGCAGGATAGCGTCAGGAGGGAAGACAGCACAGTGAGCTGGTGTAGCCAGGGGGGACATGACCCACCCTGCTCCAAGCTGCTGCCTCTTTTCCCAGGGCCTTGACATCCTCAGGACATCAGTCTCCTGTCTGGCCATGGTATCTGCCTGCTGCTGCCTTTTGCTGCAGGATTTGGGGGTGCAGGCATCGCCTCTGTGCTTCTGGATCCCCTCTGGGCAGGCAAGTAGGGCACAAAAATTAGGGGGAACTCCTGGGCTGTCAGGCAGCCCCAGTGCCTTCAGGTGCAAGTGATGCCAGTCCCAGAGCAGCAGCTGCAGCCTGAGGCTCAGGGACAAGGGAATAAAAAAGGCAGCTTGTGCAAATGAAGCCCTGGAGCCAGTGAGAGAGCTCGTGCCCCAGAGCAGGGCAGCTGGTGGGTGTGAAGAGCAGCACCTGTGTTTGTTCAGCTGGAGCCTAAAAAAGTGAGGAATGCCAGTGTCTTTCTAGGACTAGCACTGGGAGAAGCTTTCCCCTGTGCTCTGGGGGTGGACTGGGTGGCTGTGCCAAACCGAGGTCAGACACAAGCACTGGAAGGCTGGAAAAGAACCAGAGGCAGCAGGGAATCTGTCTGGAAGGGCTGCACGTCCCAGTGTGTGAGAGGTCGGTGTTGGGAGCACCCCTGGAGCTGTGCACATCCTGCCTCTGAGTGCTTCTGGTTCAGGGCAGTGTCCCATCCTTCCCGTTTTCCACCCAGCTGTCTCCTGGAGCAGCATCAGCCCAGGCAGTGTGATCTGCTCCTCTGGCTCAGGCTGCCCCAGAGTTTCCCTCCAGGCACCCACTGCAGGGTGGATCCTCCTAGAGCTCTCATCCTCTGAAGGAAGGCTCCCGGGGCCCTGCCTCCTCACTGCCAAACTTTTTTACCCAGCTGGGCTTTCTTCTCGGCACACGTGCAGGAGGGGAGCGTTTGCAGTTTGTTGTTAATCCTGTGCTGTCAGCAGCAGCTCTCCGTGGCTCAGCGGGGCTTTTGGCAAAGCGTTGGGTCCAGATCCCAAAGCTGCAGGTGATGCCAAATGTCCCACGTGGCCCCACAAATGTGCCCAGCCCGTGTCTCTTCCCCTGGCTGTGAAATCCCAACCAAGCCCGCTCCGTGCACACGGAAAAGGTGGTTGTGCCTTCTAGCTCAATCCCACGGGATGTGGGCACACAGAACCAAAACGTTTCCAAGACTCGTGTGCTGGGTATCTGATAGGAATAACCAGAGGAGAGGGAGGGAGATAACCAACTCTGGCTGTGAATGGGAACAGCTCGGATATGCTGCTCCCTTCGAGGAGAGATGAAGAGCCCATCTGTGCTGGAGGCGGAGGAAAAGGTTGTAAACCTTTTCCATGGGAAAACAACCCAAACACTCACCCTCCCTTACTATTTCCAGGGCTGCGTTTCTTCTCAAAGCCAGCATTTTCAGTCCTCTTGCACAACATGATGTTTTGTTCCATCCATTCCTTCTGTGCCAGCAGGTCATGCTCAGCAGCAGAAACAAGGATTTCTCTGGAAATGGTCACCTCACGCAGACAGCCAAAAGTTACTGGAAAGAAAAACTTTGTATTGTTTGGAGAGTGGTGGGAAAAACGGGCTGTTGAGTACAAGCAGCCTGATGCCTGGAGGATCTCCCCTTCCCTGGAGTGGCCCAGAGATGGGGATCACCCACCACAAAAAGTAACAGCGCAGGCAATTCCAAGAACAAAATCCAGAGTTCTGCTGGAGTTTGGAAACGGGGATTTAAAGGCATTGTGGGGCAATCCTAAAGCGGCGCTGCCATCGCTGTGCCCACCTGTCTCATTTGGCTTTCTTGGCTGCGTGCACGCCGCCTCGCTAATGACGATTTCTTTAGTGCTTGTAATTTTGCGCCCTGGGAGTTTGGAAAGAGCCTAGCTCCGGAGCGCTTCGTTTCCCAGCCCTTCTGCTTCCTCGTCTCCGGTTTCCAAGGCTCAGGCTCGATCTCCAGCGGCACCGCAGGCTCAAACCCCCGTGTCGGGAGCCCTTCCAGGGGTTAAACCGAGCTGCAGCTCCCAGAGCTCCTCTGCTTGTCCCGGCACCACCCCGCTGCCTGCTCCGGCAGCGCTCTGCCGGTCTGAGAAAGGGAAGAACAGCTGGAAAGAAAAAAAAAAACCAAAAAAAACCAAAAAAAAAACACAACTAGGAGATTTGGACCTTCTTTGAGTGAGGGAGCTTGAAATACACATTTAACTAGAAGTGTGGAGCATGTGTGTTTGTGTTTCACCCTTTTCCGAGCACGCTCCAGACGAGCGCTCACGGGCGGCCAGGCCTGGCTCCTGCAGCCGCCGTCTGGGGAGCCCGGCAACCCCCTCCACAACTTTCCAAAGGGAGGCAAACAGGATGGCTGAAGGCATCAGCCCCCACCTCCATCTCGCGTTCCAGCGCAGGGGACCGCCGGCCGGCCCGGCTCCGTGCGCCGGAGGCCTTCCCCTCACAGCCCCCTCGCTCAGCCCCCCCGGGCCGTGGGCGGCGCGGCCGTGACGAGCGGCACCGCGGGGCCAATCCGCCCCGGGGGGAGTTCCCCCTCCATTCAGGGCTGCTCGCCTGCGCGCTGAGGGTATGTAACAGCTGCTTCCCCCACACGCACTTTCCCAGTTTCGCCGCCCTTCGCGGCGGGGCGCGGGGCCGGGGGGAGGACGGCGGGGGCAGCCGCTGGCGCGGGCCGCGGCCGCGATGTAAACATTCCACAAAAGGGCTCCCCAGAGAGGGGGGCGTGGCCTCGCCGCTGGCGGGCGGGGCCAATTCGCCGCGTGGGTGGGCTTCTCGTCGTGACGGCGGCGCGGCCCCGCTCGCCAATTGGCCGGCGCTTTGGCGCCGCAGCCAATAGGACGGCGGGAAAGGCGGGACGGGGGCGGGGCGCGCTGCTTATACGGACATTTTTCTTCGGCGGTCGCTCCCCCCCTCCTCTCCTCCCTCCCTTCCTCTCCACATCCCCTTCCTGGGGGCCGCGGCCAATAGGGGAGGGCCTGGTGGGCGGGGCCAGCGCTCCTATTGGCCGAGGGAGTGACGGGCGCGCGTCCCAGCCAACGGGCGCTCGGGGCTCCCCCCCTGCGCGAGGAGGGGCGGGATTTCCCGGGGAACAGAGAAGCGGGCAGCGCTCCGCCGCGGCGGCCGACAGACGGTTACTCCATCTTACCCCCCCCGCCGAGCCCCCCGCCCCCGCCGG